TCCAATGTGCCTTGTCTTTTGATTCTGCTGCAACGCAAACATTTCCCAAATTGGCATCAATAAAGTACTTCTTATCTTATCTTATTAGAGTGTGTTTGATTGTGCATCATGACTGTCCATACGGTCTAATTTCCTGCATGGAAGATGGCACGTGAACGCACCACCAGTTTAGAGACAATAATTGAGACAGCATATTCTTCCTTTACCTGTAGTGTTGCCTGAACAGCCTCAAATACATGCATTTCTCTTGCATTTCATCGACATTTCTCATGCATTTCCTAATTTCCTGGTTACATTATGATTTTAACTTGCTTTGAATTAGCCAGTTTGCTTAAATGTCCCTTTTTATATGGACATGTAATAATGTTTTAATGGAGAACGACACGATTAAGGCAGTTTTAGAGCTTGGAGTAAATATTTGTTGTGAACTTGAGTAGGATTTAAAGGCATAGTCTGCTATGGCAAATCCAAACCATGAATATAGAAACTTAAATACGAAGTGCAGCTCAGTAAGATCACTATATACACACCGCTGAGCAGCACATCTATGCAGATCAGTTCAGGAATATCTCTGATGAGGACTTGGTGTTTTCTGTGTGATAACAGCTGTGTCACGCTCAGAAAGGTCAACAGGAAGTCCTCACATTAACCATTCTGTCAACAAGTGTTTATATTGAGTTTACTGTCATAGAGAGAGTAAAGAAACCACAAAATATGCACTTTCAAGAAGCTGGAAATCAGATAATTGGTTTTGTTTTCCTTGGTAAACAAACTGAAAAGCTGATTTTCAAAACAGTTGGCGGTGAATTTAGTTGTTGACAAGTAATCGATTAATCTTACTCTCTTAAACTCTACTTTTATATATTTGTATAGATCATGCTTTATGGAGAACACGGGGCGGTCGGTCTTGTATTTTCTCCCCAGTGTTACAGTCGAACAGTGAGAGGAATAAGAGGAACAAAAGCATCAATCGTCGGTACTGACATATTAATGCTGACTCAGAAGTCAAATCAACTCAACAAAATAAAAACAATAAAACTAACCCCCCCATTCCCAGGTAATAAACAGGACCTTTGTGATTAATACAAACTAACACAGGACTCAATACACAATAAAACATGTGAGAATCTGAGAATAGAAATAATATAAATAAAACAAGAATATGATCAAGTAAGTTATATAAATCCTCTCTTTGCCTACATGTTTGTAAAAAGGGTTCAAACTCTAATAACATCAACTATCTTGCATTCACTAAAAAGGCAGTTTTCATATTTAGAAACTCTTTTAAAGTCTCTTTACAGTCTGCTCTGTTCTCTCCTCAGCCTCTGAAACTGCTTCACAACACACGACATTAAATCGACTAGGAACATTAATAACACACCGTTTAAACATGTGGAAAACAAATCTGTTTCCGCTGATGTCTGTGGGAGATTTTGAGTGTGACAGCATGACGGGGCAGCCTGACCTTTGGCTGGCAGGCTCTGAGGCAGCAGGTAGAGAACGTCTCACATTGTGCTGATGTCCAACCTCTCACACACACACACACACACACACACACACACACACACACACACACACACACACACACACTGCAAGGCAACCTCATTGGACATGAACAAAGGGCATTAGCCTGCCTACACACACATGCAAATGCAAGGTGTGTGTGTGTATACATTGGAGTGTTGATTGTGACATCTTAAAACAAAGGATCGACTCAAATGGATTTCATCAGCCAATGAAATTACAAGAGTTACAGCTCTCTGGATGTGAAGAAGGCCGAACGTCCCACCTTAAACACACACACACACACACACACACACACACACACACACACACACCGACACACACACACACACACCACACACACACACAGTGCAAGGGCAAGGCCAGTGAAGCACGTATGCATCATGTCAGCCTGTGCAGGGTCACAGGATATTTATACAGTGTTTTGTCAGCGAGGCTCATATTTCAACGAGGAAAAACAGCAGTATTTGTCCTTTAAAAGGAAAAAGTATTGAGCCAGGTCGAAACAAAATGTCCCTGAAACACATTATGTGAGGTTATTTCAGCACAGGGTTACTTTGGACAAGGACGTCTGAGGACATATTCAAATCAAATCAAACAAATCAGGTTTTATTTATATAGCACATTTAAAGCGATTTTTTGGTCGAGCCAAAGTGCTGTACATGTAATAAAAAAAACATTACTACAATCACAATAAACGACAATAAATTACAACAGATATATCTTAAAAACAAATAAAATAAAAACACAAGGAAAAGTCAGAGTCGTGCTCCGCTCTGACTAGAAGGCCAGAGAGAAGAAGTGTGTTTTTAGTGTAGATTTAAAAAACCCCTAGGGTCTGGGCCCGACCTCACATGGAGGGGCAGAATGTTCCAGGCCTGGGGCCAGCTGCTGCGAAGGCTCGGTGCCCTCGGGTTTTGAGCCTGGTCTTGGGCACTACCAGCAGCAGCTGGTCAGCAGACCTTAAAGCTCTGGCTGGGGTGTAGCGCTGGAGGAGTTCAGCTATATAGGCCGGAGCCAGCCCATCCTGCTCACTTTCAGGTTCATATCAGTAGTGGCTCTACTGGGACATGTCAATGGTCAAAAGATGCCGTTGTATGAAAGAGGATTAGGGTCAAGAGGATTACATGTGGAAATTGTTTTGACATCCAACCACAAGTGAATTTGCTTTATTAGTTTTGAAATGGAAGTCCGAATTCTGAGAGAAAATAGAAATATGAAGAAAACATTTATGGATTTTGAGAAAGAAATCCAGAATTCAAAGAAAGAAAAAACAATTTTAAGACAACAGTCGTAGTCCGTATAACACATTTGAAATCTGAGAAAAAAGTCTGAATTCGAAGAAAGGAAATCAAAATTTTAACGAAACATTTATGAATTTTGAGGAAAAGAAATTCAGAATTCAACGGGAAAAAAAAAACGTTTTAAGAAAAAAGTCATTTCTAGAAAAAAAATCTGAAGAAATCTGAAAAAGTCTGGAGAAATGTCCGATTTCTGAGTAAAATAGTTCTGACTTTTTTTCCCCTAATCCTCTCCCGTACTGTTGACTTTTGTGTGAGAAACCAGATTTCTTTACGTACTTACAGTTGTAGTAATTAAAAGTGTTAGAGCTTGAATCTGTCGCACGTTTTTAATCAGAGCTTTTCCATTTCTTCGTGCCTTTTAATACCGCAGAAACCCTGGAGTGTCAGAATGGATCATCCAAGATTTCCCCGTCACAACTTCGGTAAGTTAAACGCCACAAATTCTGTTTCTTTTCAGCTCAATTTAGCTCACTTCAATTCAAAGTTTGGACGTCAAGACATGTCATAAAACATAAAGCCTAACAGAACATAAAAATTAAGAGCTGTTGATCACGTGTGGAAGACGGTTTGTTCGACCATGACACGCTTGAATTAAGTGGTACAGCTTCCAGCTTCACTGCAGGGAACACAGAGCTGAATATTGAGAGGCAAACTGTTCATTCATGCAAACGTCTGTTTTACACACGCTGTATGATTAGAATTCATTTGAATGAATGATCGAATCAGGGATGATAATGCAAATACTTTAAGCTCAGGTAATGCTTCTGTCTCTTTACGACAGCAGTAGTTATTAGTGTTACACATCGCTCAGTCCAAACACCGTAACTGCTAGAGAATATATACATGTAAACTAAAAGAGCCGTTTATGGTAACATCTGTTAACAAGCCTTTAAGAAACACTAACTTTTCTGAAGTTTTAAACACTTGTTTAAGACTGATAAAGAAGTGACATCTTAAAAAAGACATATTCTGATCATGTTCAGGTGTATATCAGTATGTAGTGTCTCTACTTTAAAGAGTCCTCTCCTGCTGATGTTCAGGTGTATATCAGTAATGTATGGTCTCTACTTTAAAGAGTCCTCTCCTGCTAATGTTCAGGTGTATATCAGTATGTAGTGTCCTCTACTTTAAAGAGTTCTCTCCTGCTGATGTTTCAGGTGTATATCAGTATGTAGTGTCTCTACTTTAAAGAGTCCTCTCCTGCTGATGTTCAGGTGTATATCAGTATGTAGTGTCTCTACTTTAAAGAGTCCTCTCCTGCTGATGTTCAGGTGTAATTCAGTATGTAGTGTCTCCTACTTAAAAGGTCCCTCTCCTGCTGATGTTCAGGTGTATTATCAGGTATGTAGTGTCTCTACTTTAAGATTCCTCTCCTGCTGGATGGTTCAGGTGTATATCATTATGTAGTGTCTCTACTTTAAAGAGTCCTCTCCTGCTAATGTTCAGGTGTATATCAGTATGTAGTTGTCTCTACTTTAAAGAAGTCCTCTCCTGTGATGTTCAGGGTATACAGTATGTAGTGTCTCTACTTTAACGAGTCCTCTCCATGGATGTCAGGATATCAGTATGTATGTTTCTCTACTATCAAGAGTCCTCTCCTGCTGATGTTCAGGTGTATATCAGTATGTAGTGTCCTCTTCTACTTTAAAGAGTCCTCGTCCTGCTGATGTTCAGGTGTATATCAGTATTTAGTGTCTCTACTTTAAAGAGTACATCCTCCTGCCTGATGTTCAGGTGTATATCAGTATGTTAGTGGGTCTCTACTTTAAAGAGTCCTCTCCTGCTGATGTTCAGTGTGTATATCAGTATGTAGTGTCTCTACTTTAAAGAGTTCCTCTCCTGCTGATGTTCAGGTGTATATCAGTATGTAGTGTCTCAACTTTAAAGAGTCCTCTCCTGTTGATGTTCAGGTGTATATCAGTATGTAGTGTCTCTACTTTAAAGAGTCCTCTCCTGCTGATGTTCAGGTGTATATCAGTATGTAGTGACTCTACTTTAAAGAGTCCTCTCCTGCTGATGTTCAGGTGTATATCAGTACGTAGTGTCTCTACTTTAAAGAGTCCTCTCCTGCTGATGTTCAGGTGTATATCAGTATGTAGTGGTCTCTTAATTTAAAGAGTCCTCTCCTGCTGATGTTCAGGTGTATATCAGTATGTGTGTCTCTACTTTAAAGAGTTCTCTCCTGCTGATGTTCAGGTGTATATCAGTATGTAGTGTCTCTTACTTTAAAGAGTCCTCTCCTGCTGATGTTCAGGTGTATATCAGTATGTAGTGTCTCTACTTTAAAGAGTCCTCTCCTGCTGATGTTCAGGTGTATATCAGTATGTAGTGTCTCTACTTTAAAGAGTCCTCTCCTGCTGATGTTCAGGTGTATATCAGTTTGTAGTGCCTCTACTTTAAAGAGTCCTCTCCTGCTGATGTTCAGTATATCAGTATGTAGTGTCTCTACTTTAAAGAGTCCTCTCCTGCTGATGTTCAGTATATCAGTATGTAGTGTCTCTACTTTAAAGAGTCCTCTCCTGCTGATGTTCAGGTGTATATCAGTATGTAGTGTCTCTACTTTAAAGAGTCCTCTCCTGCTGATGTTCAGGTGTATATCAGTATGTAGTGCCTCTACTTTAAAGAGTCCTCTCCTGCTGATGTTCAGGTGTATATCAGTATGTAGTGCCTCTACTTTAAAGAGTCCTCTCGAGCTGATGTCCAGGTGTATATCAGTATGTAGTGCCTCTACTTTAAAGAGTCCTCTCGAGCTGATGTCCAGGTGTATATCAGTATGTAGTGCCTCTACTTTAAAGAGTCCTCTCGAGCTGATGTCCAGGTGTATATCAGTATGTAGTGCCTCTACTTTAAAGAGTGCTGCTTTCAAACCTAAAGTCCAGTTTTTCCACAGGAATATTTTTGGATGTGTTGCCATGGAAATACTCTTGCTTATGGGCATTGAAGTGTTCCTCAAGTGTTCTGGTTTATAAAAAAGTAAACTAATAAAGTGAACAGAGAGCGATGCTTGGATGGTGATGGAGGAGCCACTATGAATTATTTATTCAATAACATCTGTTGTTTTATTAGGGATTACTAAATTAGATATTGATGATAATGGCTCCGTTATGTCCGCCTCTGTCTCTGCAACAAAATACTCTCATTACAAAATGTTCTCTCAGCCACTTTCACAAACTGTGGAAACAAAGCAGGAACAAAATGGGACTTCTTTGATTGACACAATAATGATAGCTTTGAACGATTAAATACAAAACCTTTTGGGAATTAATGCTTTTGTATTCATTCTATCGTAAATAATTCAAAAGCATTGCATTTTTAAGTCGTTTTTCTTCTGCTGTTGACTTTGAGATTCTCATCCTGAATATGACACAACTTTATTGAATACTCGATTCTGATTGGTCTATTTGGACATACTGGAGGTCTGCTATTTTTCCCTAGCAGACGTTGATAAGGATAGTAGACTGTTGCTAAGGATATAGACTGTTAGTCGACTGTTGCTGAGGATAGTAGACTGTTGCTAAGGTTAGTAGACTGTTGTTAAGGATAGTAGACTGTTGCTAAGGTTAGTAGACTGTTGTTAAGGATAGTAGACTGTTGCTAAGGATAGTAGACTGTTGCTAAGGATAGTAGACTAAGGATTGTAGACTGTTGCTAAGGATAGTAGACTAAGGATAGTAGACTGTTGCTAAGGATAGTAGACTGTTAGTCGACTGTTGCTGAGGATAGTAGACTGTTGCTAGGTTAGTAGACTGTTGTTAAGGATAGTAGACTGTTGCTAAGGTTAGTAGACTGTTGTTAAGGATAGTAGACTGTTGCTAAGGATAGTAGACTGTTGCTAATGATAGTTGACTAAGGATTGTAGACTGTTGCTAAGGATAGTAGACTGTTAGTCGACTGTTGCTGAGGATAGTAGACTGTTAGTCGACTGTTGCTGAGGATAGTAAACTGTTGTTAAGGATAGTAGACTGTTGTTAAGGATAGTAGACTAAGGATTGTAGACTGTTGCTAAGGATAGTAGACTAAGGATAGTAGACTGTTGCTAAGGATAGTAGACTGTTAGTCGACTGTTGCTGAGGATAGTAGACTGTTAGTCGACTGTTGCTGAGGATAGTAAACTGTTGTTAAGGATAGTAGACTGTTGTTAAGGATAGTAGACTGTTGCTAAAGATAGTAGACTGTTGCTAATGATAGTTGACTAAGGATTGTAGACTGTTGCTAAGGATAGTAGACTAAGGATAGTAGACTGTTGCTAAGGATAGTAGACTGTTGCTAAGGATAGTAGACTGTTGCTAAGGATAGTAGACTAAGGATTGTAGACTGTTGCTAAGGATAGTAGACTAAGGATAGTCGACTGTTACTAAGGATAGTAGACTGTTAGTCGACTGTTGCTGAGGATAGTAGACTGTTGCTAAGGTTAGTAGACTGTTGTTAAGGATAGTAGACTGTTGCTAAGGTTAGTAGACTGTTGTTAAGGATAGTTGACTGTTGCTAAGGATAGTAGACTGTTGCTAAGGATAGTAGACTAAGGATAGTAGACTGTTGCTAAGGATAGTAGACTGTTGCTAAGGATAGTAGACTGTTGCTAAGGATAGCAGACTGTTGCTAAGGATAGTAGACTGTTGCTAAGGATAGTTGCAAAATATGACAGTCTGATCAAGGAACTATGTGCAGTCATATCAATCCGCAGAAAGAAGTGCGGTTGATTTGCTGTCAGTTGACCTTAGTTGTAGAAGCTGTAGAAGTAAAGCTCAGAGATTGAAGCTCAGTGGCCGGAGATCATCGGTAACCTGCTGGGAAGAATGAGAGGGAGAATGAGGGAGTGAGTGGGAAGCAAAACGAGACAAAGAGGGGAAAAAAGACAAGTCACAAACAGTTGCTGGGTTCTGTATTATCCTCAAATTATATTTAACTACGTCAATGAGCTTGGATTTTCCATTCAGTCTGTCTTTTTGTCTTTTCCCCGAAACTTGGGGGAAGGGTGAAGCATGGGCCAAAGAATAACCCCTATATTTGACTACAACACTCTCTCAGTACCATAACAGTCATTGTACTAGTAGCAATCATGTTGAACTGAATTGTTGTAACTTGTGTGTGTCTGTGTGTGTGTTTTTTGTTTCCAGAGAGCGCTGCCTGCTGCCTCTACAGATGGCTCTGGAGTCCAAAAAACACCAAACTGGGGACAAAACAGCGCTCACTGGGATGCAGGTACTGTCAAATACCAGCAACACTATGAAAAAAATATTTCCCATTTGCTGCCTTAAGCTTAGCGGTGGTGACGTGAAGTCATGTGACCGTGCTGTAGTTCCTTTATAGCCCAACATTAGCCTCCTTTAGCTTAGCGGTGGTGACGTGAAGTCATGTGACCGTGCTGTAGTTCCTTATAAGCCCAACATTAGCCTCCTTTAGCTTAGCGGTGGTGACGTGAAGTCATGTGACCGTGCTGTAGTTCCTTTATAGCCCAACATTAGCCGCCTTTAGCTTAGCGGTGGTGACGTGAAGTCATGTGACCGTGCTGTAGTTCCTTATAGCCCAACATTAGCCACCTTTAGCTTAGCGGTGGTGACGTGAAGTCATGTGACCGTGCTGTAGTTCCTTTATAGCCCAAACATTAGCCGCCTTAGCTTAGCGGTGGTGACGTGAAGTCATGTGACCGGTGCTGTGTTCCTTTATAGCCCAACATTAGCCGCCTTTAGCTTAGCGGTGGTGACGTGAAGTCATGTGACCGTGCTGTAGTTCCTTTATAGCCCAACATTAGCCTCCTTTAGCTTAGCGGTGGTGACGTGAAGTCATGTGACCGTGCTGTAGTTCCTTTATAGCCCAACATTAGCCGCCTTTAGCTTAGCGGTGGTGATGTGAAGTCATGTGACCGTGCTGTAGTTCTTTTATAGCCTAACGTCAGCTTTTTACTTGATACATCATAAGTGGTGTTGATATGTGGAGATTATCCCGCTGAACTAAACATGCAAGTATCGTATTATCATCCTATCATAATCTTTTCTCTGTGTCTTTCGTCCAATCAGAAGCTTCCTGTGTAGGACAGGTTGGGGGGGGGGGGGCGGTGGGTGGAGGTGGAGGTCGTGGAGAAGCAGCTGCTAAGCCAGATGTTGGAGGCCATCAGAGTCACTCCCTCCCTCCATGAAGACCTGCAGGTGGAAGTCATGAAGGTATAACTTCTATTAATACGTGATTAACGAGGTGTGTGTTATTTATATTTTTAGTAGGTCTTCTTCTAAGTCCTTGATACCCTGAAAGTAAACAAAATGTGTTATTTATTATTATGAAACCCTTATTGCTATAAAATCCCGATCTCAGTTCCTAAATATGTTATATTTTTAATACTATGTTAAAGTCCCTTTTTCATGATCTGTTAAATACATCTCCCTGTTTTTCTAAATAACAATAGTACTGTGTGTGTGTGTGTGTGTGTGTGTGTGTGTGTGTGTGTGTGTGTGTGTGTGTGTGTGTGTGTGTGTGTGTGTGTGTGTGTGTGTGTGTGTGTGTGTGTCCTGTGTGTGTGTCCTGTGTGTGTGTCCTGTGCAGGTGCTGCTGTGTATCACCTACTCCCCAAACTTTGACATCAACGGAGACTCCATCCTCCGGATCGCTGAGGTAGGACAGACGCTTCATTATTATATATTTGTTATGACGTTGAGAAAGCTGTACATCACAGAGACTTGGTCACAGTATTGATTCGGCTGTTCCACTTAGTTTTGTCTTTTGTCAGAACAAACATGGACTCTGTCTATTTTTTAAAGGGGAAGCTCTGTTCGGTCCCTTCTCCCCCTGAAGCCTGATCTCATGCTGTCATCTCATCAATTATTCAGAAAGATGAGATGAGTGGTCCTGCATATATAGAAAAACGTACAGACCGTCCTGAAGATGTTGTAGCTGGAAGAAGAAATAAAGACGTGGAGATGAAGGGAGATATTTTCCACCCAAAAACTGTGACCTCTGAGCTATGAGGCGTTATGTTAGGAGTCTCCCCAGTATGTGCATGACAACAAAGGACATCCTGCGAGCTAACATGTGCAGATATGTGAACATATCTTTTTGCAGACTCTTCAGATTGTTATTCCAACCTTATGTGAATTTTCCACAGATTTGTCTGGACTATTCACACATCACATGCATGCAGCACACATGCCCTATCTTGCAATATAAGGGAACACATTTGAATATTAATCCTGCAGATAAGCGACCTGAAAACAGGATACAAACTGGCAGATAAATCATTTTCATCTGTGGCTTTGAGTCTACAGCTACTTGATCCTTTTGTTGAGGTGTGCTCTGCATTCACATCCCTGATATAAAGGTATTCTGATTCTGAGGTTCTGCACCGACTTGCAGAAATAATCCAGGTTTTCATCGTCTCTAAACCCACCCCAGTTCGTCTCTAAGAGTTTGCATCAGGCTCCATTGTGTAGATTAGCAGCTGTAGTCCAAAGCAGATGCAGAATCAGTCAGAACATCTGTAGAGACTTCACACATCGCTCCTGCAGCAGCTCTTTGATGGTCTCTTTGTTCATTATGTTTCAAAACTCCCTACTACATATCATCTTAGTCATTATGTGCAGATTTGCCACAACCAGCCAACTCCAAACATGAACCCAAAAGCCAGAACGTACAAAAACTGTTTTCTAAATGTGTTTTCCTGAAGCATCACTTCCCTTTAGCAGCTCCTGTGTGTTTGACGTCCGTTAACAGCTCATAAAAACCTGCTCAACGTGATGTGTTAATGGGATCCGTTACCAGGGCCATCTGTGGTGTGTGTGTGTGTGTGTGTGTGTGTGTGTGTGTGTGTGTGTGTGTGTGTGTGTGTGTGTGTGTGTGTGTGTGTGTGTGTGTGTGTGTGTGTGTGTGTGTGTGTGTGTGTGTGTGTGTGTGTGTGTGTGTGTGTGGTGTGGTGTGTGTGTGTGTGTGTGTGTGTGTGTGTGTGTGTGTGTGTGTGTGTGTGTGTGGTGTGTGTGTGTGTGTGTGTGTGTGTGTTTCTGTGTGTGTTGGGTGTAACTCAGGGTGTCTGGAGAGGCTGTCAGCACCACTCCATTATCAGAAACATCCCATAGAAACAGTACAGCTCAGTTCTTAATGCAAGAATTGGCAGCAGTGATGGAATTAATTCAGTTTAAACCACTAGGAGGTAAAACTCACCTTCATTCACATCGTATACAAATACATTTGGTCTTACATGAGTGCAACGACACAGAAGAGGACACGGGTGCATACAGATTAAGACTTTGTTAGTTAGTTTAACTTCCATGAACTGAAAACTGTAAAAGGTTTAAAGTTATACTATAAGACGAAAACACAGACAACACTCAGCCTGTCAATATCAATGTCAGGTAGCCTGAAATAAGCCCGTGATTTATCGCCATGTTACGTACGTAAGGAATCATGTGGAGAAAGGCGGCCTGTTGATGCTCCTTAGCAACGGTGTGTTAGCGAGTAATAACAACCTATGGAATGCGCAGATTGACCAATCAGAATCGAGTATTCAACTCAGCTGTGTAATATTCAAAATGACATCATGCTGTATTGAAGAAACTTGCAACTAGAGAATTAGACCTGCAACATCTCCAGGGTAATGTTTACTGTCGGGTCATTTTCTCACAGACTTCTACACAATTACACTTTCCTCCTCAGATCAATGCTCCTCCTGCCAGCCTGCATTACACAACGCAGAAAGAAGACATGCAGGATGTATTGATCAGTCATTGATTAGGCTCAGGTGCTGGGAGGCTGTCTATAATTAGCAGAGAGGCTGTTTCTTTGCAGCTCTGCAGTGAGACCCTTTATGGATAGAGCAGAGCTTTGGTGATTACTGAAATGAATCACATTCATAGCTCTCTTTAACCCTCCTCCGTTCTACAGTGTTAAATAGTCCCTCTCGATCATCTGCAGCTTGCCTTTTTTCACTCTCCACCAAAACTCTGGTTATCCCCACGAGGTTTTAAGAGAAGCAAGGGCCTTTAACTAACTGGACCTCCTAACGTTTCCTACTTTCTTTATCATGTTTGTTTGTTTGTTTGTACATGCCTTCCTTTCTCTAATTGTTCCCCTGTTTCTTTACTCGTTTTATAACACTATGTACAGCTGTATGAAATCTAAAATATTCTCCGTGCGTTGCGTGCGTGCGTGGTGTGTGTGTGTGTGTGTGTGCGTATGCATATGCGTATGTTGTTGTGTGTCTGTGACCTTCTACTCTGGCAAGGTTCTGATATTTGAAACACTGAAAACACATCCTCCTCAATGCCCCCTCACACTCATCTGTCTGGTCTCCACAGTAACCTGTGACGCCATGGAAACCTTCCTTAAAACCTCATTGTGTGTGTGTGTGTGTGTGTTGTGTGTGTTGTGGTGTGTGTGTGTTGTGTGGTGTGTGTGTGTGTGTGTGTGTGTGTGTGTGTGTGTGTGTGTGTGTTGTGTGTGTGTGTGTAGTGTTGTGTTGTGTGTGTGTGTGTGTGTGGTGTGTAGTGTGTGTGTGTGTGTAGTGTGTGTAGTGTGTGTGGGCTGTATGAAATCCATTACCATCAATCTTGTATGACATAAAGTGCCTGGGATATGATACAATATTTCACAATGAGAATGTAAATGAATACAAAAGATATTGCTTGTGTGTGTGTGTTTAGGTGTGTATCAAGACATACGTGTCCAGCTGTCACCAGCGCAGCATCAACACGGCGGTCCGAGCCACGCTGAGCCAGATTCTGGGAGACCTGACACTGCAGCTTCGACACAGACAAGAGGTCACACACACACACACACACACACACTCAAACTGGTACACACCAATAACACTATTAGCGTATCACACACACACACCACTAATGACCCCTAATATAAAGAAAGCCCTCCTTTTCCTAACTGTACCTCCTGCTGTGTTTCTCCACAGGGGGCCGATGGAGACGAGGTGACTCCGCCCCCTCTGCACAGAAGAGGTAACTCATCCATCACCAGAGAAAACTTCATCTGTAATCACCTCCATTTACCCCCCATGAAGGAAATACATTCAGCGGCCAAGTCTGCTATCACTGACACAAGCAGCAGCTGCCATAAATTGTGTGTGTGTGTGTGTGTGTGTGTGTGAGGTGTGTGTGTGTGTGTGTGTGTGTGTGGGTGTGTGTGTGTGTTGTGTGTGTGTGTGTGTGTGTGTGTTTGTGTGTGTGTGTGTGTGTGTGTGTGTGTGTGTGTGTGTGTGTGTGTGTGTGTGTGTGTGTGTGTGTGTGTGTGTGTGTGTGTGTGTGTGTGTGTGTGTGTGTGTGTGTTGTGTGTGTGTGTGTGTGTGTGTGTGTGCAGATATTTCCCCCACCAGCCAGTCGCTGTGTGAAGATGTGGTGACGGTGCTGACAGTTTTCTGTGAAAAGCTGTGAGTCAGGTGGACAGGTAACACCAGCAGTTTATTTATATATTGTTGTAGTATTGTTCACATTGTTTAGTCTTTATATCCTTGATTCCTTCTCCTGCATTTCAGGAATTGAGATATCCTTCAACAGGACACAAATAGAGAAATTACAAAATCAGAATCCTTTCTTTTGTTTTAATATTTAAGTGATATTTCAGCTTGGTCCTTGTAGTGAACATCAGGGGTTCTCTGTCATGTCAACGAACCTCAAAGAGTATCAGTTACCTAAAAGGAAATGTATTTGAATGTGCCAGACCCTTTAAAGAACCACAACTGAAGACAAACGGTGTGTTAACAGACTGTGTTGATCAGATACTTTACTGGCTAAATTATTATTAAGCTAGAGCTGAAACGATAAGTTGACTAATTGGTAAATTGATCGACAGAAACATAATTAGTTACTCTAAGAAAAATACAGTTTTCAGTCTCTCAATTATGCGTTTTTTTTTAAATATCAATACCTTGTTTTGTTCTCACAACAACCAAGTCATTTAAAAACATCACTTTAGACTTTGGATGGAATAAATCTAGAAAATAATCGCTATATTAATGAAGAGTTTACTTAGTTGACTGTAACTCACATAGTTTGCATTATTGAAAATTGGTTACAGAACCATATTGACCGTCCTCTGCATATACGCCTTTTTCTCTGTAACCTGTAATTAGTTTCAAGATTATATCTGAATCTGTGTAATTAGCTAAGGGCTATATGAAAATACTTCTAATATAAGCTCTTTAAATAATAACGTCTGATTTGTTTTATGCTCCTTTGAATCATTCCCCCGCAGTGATAACCAGCTGCTGCAGCTCCTCTACCTGGAGTCCATCTCTCCATGCTCAGCAGCTGTCCTCCCACAATGCACCTGTCCAGAGGGTTCACAGACCTCGTTATGGTACGACATTTAACACTGCTATAATCTTACATGCATGAAATGGTGTCAATGATGTTAAAGGGCCCATGCCATGGCCATTCCACTGATCATAATTCCATTGTTGAGGTCTACTAAAATAGATTTATATTGTGCAATGTTCCAAACTCACATTGGTTTCTCAAACAGCCTCTCTGTAAACTACGTGTATTCACTGAATTTCACTCTCTGCCTTTAACGGCTCGTTGTAGCTCCAATAGCTCCAGCCCCCACCCTCCCTGTGAGCACAGTGTGCTCTGATTGGTCGGGACGTTGTGAATCGCGCTGAGCTCCGTGGAGGTGTTGTTTCCTTGTTTAGCGATACACAGCGAAACACAGCCAAACTCATCCTGAGCACACACAAAGTCACAGCCGAAGTAAAAACAATGAGTGTGGCTTGATATTGACTAAGAAAAAGGTTGATAAACGCTGTGAGAATGGGTCTGCACAGAGAATGGGTCTGCAGAGAGAATGGGTCTGCAGAGAGAATGGGTCAGCAGAGAGAATGGGTCTGCAGAGAGAATGGGTCTGCAGAGAGAATGGGTCTGCAGAGAGAATGGGTCTGCAGAGAGCATGGGTCTGCAGAGAGAATGGGTCTGCAGAGAGAATGGGTCTGCAGAGAGAATGGGTCTGCAGAGAGAATGGGTCTGCAGAGAGAATGGGTCCTGCAGAGAGAATGGGTCTGCAGAGAGAATGGGTCTGCAGAGAGCATGGGTCTGCAGAGAGAATGGGTCTGCAGAGAGAAGGGGTCTGCAGAGAGAATGGGTCTGCAGAGAGAATGGGTCTGCAGAGAGAATGGGTCTGCAGAGAGAATTTTGCCGCGATCCCAACTGTCTGTTATCAGCCTGCAGCCAGGGAGGAGAAATCAGCTGAGCTGCCTGCTCCCTGCACACAGATGTGTGTGTGAGGAAGTCCGTGGATTGGTCAATTTGGACCAATCAGCGGGGGCTTAACGTAACGGCTCCACGGATTGGTCCATTTCGTTCCGGGTATGGCATGACATCATGCCGTACCCAGAACGAAATGGAAGAATCAAATGGACAATGACGTATCTCCAACGAGGCGTTTTGGGGAGGTATTTTCTGTGTTAGAGTTTTACTCGCTACAGGGTGTACTTTGAGGGTTTGTGACTCTGCACACCGTTTACATGCATAAAAACCTTCATAACACACAAGGGGACGGGTAATAACCGGAAAAGCATGACATGGGCCCTTTAACTAAACATCAGAGATACATGTTGGGAGTCTTTATTCCAGTTACTGCTTCAGGTTTCTTGGATTTTGTTGTGTATCTGTCTATGATGTATTAAGCACTAGGGGGGGGAATCACCAGGCTCCCCACGATACAATACTATCGCGATACTTAAGCCACGATACGATAGTATTGCAATTCTACGATATGCCAAGTATTGCGATACGATATATTGCGATATATATTTACATCTTTGTTTTGACTAACTTCCTGCCAATCCCACTGACTTTACCCATGGAAGAAAAGCTCAGCACCATCTAGTGGATTGAAAAAGCAATTGTTACCAAATAATGTAATTAACCCTAAACCTTTAATTTGGATTTGCAATATGAATAGTTTATATAATAAAAGATTGATACTTGGCGTCCGTGTATCGATACAATATCGCCACGCAAAGTATCGCGATACTATGCTATATCGATTATTTCCCCCGCCCCTAGTAAGCACAATAACTTATTCTCCTAAATGAATCAATGTTCCTCCTCCCAGGAAGCAGCTGTGTCCGTCCCTCGTGGCGATCATGGGAAATCCTGTCAACGACAAAACCATCACCTCCCACCACGGCCACATGGGGGCGCCGGACCGCCCCTCGGACAGACTGAGTCTAGGTAACCTTATTTAAAAAAATATATATAAGCGCAGTAGTTAGTTTGTTTGTCTTTGCTTTGTCTTTCGGATTAAAGCCGATTTGAGTGGCTCATCTTGATGCCCCTGTGTGTTTCCCTTTCTCCAGGAATGGGCCAGGATGTGGATCTCTTCGGTGGGGGGGTATCGGATCAGGGTCGAGGGTCCGGCTGCTCCTCTAGCGCCCCCGCCAGGATCGCCCCAGTGGTGCGGACTGTGTGTTACATCGCTGCAGAGCTGGTGCGTCTGGTGAACTGCGTGGAGTCCATGAAGCCGGTTCTGCAGTCGCTCTATCACCGGATCCTGCTGTACCCCCCCCCTCAGCACCGCACAGAGGCCATCCGCATCATGAAGGAGGTGGGGACACATTATTATACATTTACAGATAGATTTTATACCTTCAGACACCTTTGATTCCAGTGGTGCAGTGATGACATTTATTTGTTGGTCCCTGAAGGCAGCATGTCCCTGGTTCAATGGGATGGGAATGTGATTTTGGATTGTTGCAGAAAATAATCTCTGTGCCAAACAAACGTTTATGATATTTACACGTTTTGTTCAGCAGGATAATCTCCACATATCAACACCACTTTAAGATTTCTGAAGTAAAAAGCTAATGTTGGGCTATAAAAGGAACTACAGCACGGTCACATGACTTCACGTCACCACCGCTAAGCTAAAGGAGGCTAATGTTGGGGCTATAAAGGAACTACAGCACGGTCACATGACTTCACATCACCACCGCTAAGCTAAAGGGGGCTAATGTTGGGCTATAAAGGAACTACAGCACGGTCACATGACTTCACGTCACCACCGCTAAGCTAAAGGTGGCTAATGTTGGGCTATATAAGGAACTACAGCACGGTCACCATGACTTCACGTCACCACCGCTAAGCTAAAGGTGGCTAATGTTGGGATATAAAGGAACTAGAGCACGTTCACATGACTCACGTCACCACCGCTAAGCTAAAGGTGGCTAATGTTGGGCTATAAGGAACTACAGCACGGTCACATGACTTCCTTTGTTAGAAGCAATTCTTCTCTGTTTGTGTGTGTTAGATTCTGGGCAGTCCTCAGCGTCTCTACGATCTTGCCGGTCCATGCGTGGCCGAACCTGAAACCAGGAAACGCTCATTTTCCAAGAGGAAGTCTCACCTGGACCTTCTGAAACTGTTCGTAAATCCTCCATCTTGTTCTAAAAAAGTTATAAATGACTTTTCTGAATTGCATCATGTCCTAATGCCAGCTCTTAAAGGTGCACAGGGGTTACTTTTTAAAGAGTAAAACATACACCTTGCACGGTGTTGTTACAGTTTGCAAAAACATAGCAAAGATATAAGGTATGTTTGTGTGTTCCTGCTTCGTTCTGATGTCTCTTGTTCGTTCTGCAGAGTGATGGATGGGATGACGGAGGCCTGTATGAAGGGAGGCATCGAGGCGTGTTTCTCCTCCGTCTCCTGCGCCTGCGCTCCTCCTCGGGGCGCTGGATGAACTTTCTAAGGGCCACGGCATCCAATCAGAGCAGGTATTACTGACACAGCAGGTATTGTATGAGTGGACTTAATTTAGCCACCTTAAAGTGGACCTATCATGCTATATTTGAATAATATAGTGTAGGACCCATACCTATATGAGGCATATTTATATATTTTTTTCAAAATACCAAACAGATCATGCATTTTAGCCATGCCTCATTTCGCTCAATTTGACAATTATAGCTCTGTTTGTGCAGGGGCAGATTCTGTGAGAACAGCACCACCTACAGGCCTGGCATATGTACTACAGCGTCTCCAGCGCTTTCGAACGGCAATGGCCGTGGCTGTCTCCTCCTGATTGGTGGAGTTGGCCCAATAGCCGTAGCGCCCACCGTCCTGACGTCAGGACAGTGTTCAAATCTGGATCAGTTTTTATCAGATCCGTTGCAGCCCTTTTTTAGAGATTTGGGTATGGAGGGAAATAGAGAGGGTTGAGTTCCCTGGAACACATATTCATGTATAAAAGACGTACAAAAGTGCATTTTGCATGATAGGTCCCCTTTAAAGAAAGGCCCAACAATCCAGCTCAGTTTTAGTATACGCAGGGTTGAGAGAGTTACAGTAGTATCACAACACTACAAATATGAAACTGAGAATGAGCGCAATATGTACTTTTAAATACAAAATAGTGTTGGGAAAATCCTGAATGTCCTCTTCCAACATGAGAGCAACATGATAACAAAGGTATCCCAACTGTAGCTGTGTACATGACAGGATGTATGATTACCTAGAAGAGCATCAGGACTGTTTGAGGCATATGATAGCTATGTGATTAACATGATGATTCAGCCTCTATGGAGATAGACATATGACAAGCATGCTCATTTCTGACGTGGAGCTAATCTGAAGTAAACATTGAATACTGCTTTCTATTCCTCCATCTTGTGACTGTGTAACTCCCTCTCTTGGATATCAGCATGTGAAGGACACTGTTCAGGAACTAGTTGATGCTCTGTATGTGATGACTACTTCCATTCAGGAGAGGATCACAAATACATGGATCCTGAGATTGAAGCTCAAGCCGGGGACCAGGGAGATTTTCCTAAGTAATAGTAACTCAGCAGCTTCTCCTCAGGCTCGGCTGCTCCTCAGACGTCTGGAGGACCTTAAAGACGGTGCAGAATCGACCCGGGAGTCCATGGAGATCAACGAGGCGGACTTCAGGTGGCAGAGACACATCCTGGCCTCGGAGCAGCCTCCCTGGGACCCTAACTCCTCCAGCGTGGCCCCCAAAGAGCGAAGCCCCGACATTAGCATTAGCATCACCACCGAAACGGGCCAAACAACCGTGGACCTGGAGGTGGCGGTGGAGGAGCCGAGCCAAACCTCTCCTGAAGATTGTGAGGAGGAAACACATCTCCCTTCACCAACTACTGGAGTAAGGCTCATTGTTCTTCATAACGTCTGTGCATGCTAGCTTTTATCTTTGCATCGGCCCTTCTTAAAGGTCTCCTATCCTGCTAAATACATTTTTTGATGTCTTTTATACATCAACATGTGTCCCCGGGCTGCTTTGTGCATGAAAGGTGCTTTACAAATAAAGTGTATTATTATTATTATGGCCTGTGGAATAAAACTGTCTTTAATAAATAAATACAAATCCTTTGGCGATTAGGACGGGACCAAATGTGATCCGATCCTGGAGGAGAACCAGTTGGAGGACGGAGGATCGGAGAAGGAGAGACTGGGAGGAGGGGAGAGAGGAGAGAGAGGAGAGAGAGGAGCTGTGGTTCCTCCAGATGTGGTGCAGAGGACTCACGGCCTCGTTTACCCCGACATCACCAACTTCCTGTCTGTGGAGTCAAGGACCAGAACGCACCATGGGGCGGGATCGAGATACAGCGAGAGCAACTTCAGGTGTGTGTGTGTGTGTGTGTGTGTGTGTGTGCGTGCGTGTGTGCGTGTGTGTGGAAATGAAAGACTGAATAGAGCGTATAGGTGCAGTGATGACGAGTTTGCATCACAAGGGCTACCTCCACAAAAAGCCAATGGGATTATTCCATGGGATTTTGGATTAGTGCATACATTCATCTCTATGGCAAACAAACGTTTTGTTCAGCAGGATAATCTCCACATATTAACACCACTTTATGATTTTTGATGTGAAAAGCTAACGTCAAACAACCAAAAACACATTTAGGAAACCATTGACTTCCAGTCGAGGGGACAGTAAGTGATAAAATGCTGACTAGTTTCCAGTTGTTATGACTCATTCCTGCACCACCATTATTATTTATTTCCCAGTAGTTTTTTTACTTTTTGAGTTCCCACTTTAATGTCAGAGTTCTGAGAAAAAATTATTCAGACTTTGTTTCTGAAAGAAATTGCGGAGATACTCTGATTACTGATTACATTATTCTACAGGTAACTACTAATTATAGCGGATTACATTTTTAAGGTCTCCCTCCCCACCCTGTCAGCAACATAACATGATGTTTCTGCTCCGTCTCCTGACCCCAAAACAAACTGACCTTGAACTAGTATAATAGGAGATCTTTAAAATGTGCTATACAAATAAACTAACATTGCTGTATCTCCTCTGTTTTCTCCTCAGCATGGAGGAGCAGGATTTGTCCCGGACAGAGTTCGACTCGTGTGATCAGTACTCCATGGCAGCAGAGAAGGACTCGGGTCGCTCCGACGTGTCCGATATCGGCTCCGATAACGTGTCTCTGGCTGACGAGGAGCAGCAGACGCCCCGAGACTGTCCGGGTCATCGATCGCTGCGCACCGCCGCGCTGTCACTCAAACTGCTGCGCCACCAGGAGGCGGACCAGCAGAGCGCGCGCATCTTCGTGCAGTCGCTGGCCTCGCTGCTTCCTCGTCTGTTGGGACTGAGAACTGCCGGCGAGGTGGACCTGTCGCTGCAGAAATTCTCCTCCAACTTCTGCTCCGGACTGCAAGCTGGTGAGGAAACATTCACTGAGGGTGATTGAAAACTGTATGATTTAGTGTGCAGTGGTGAAATATGCTCCTACAAGTACTGTACTTAAAGGTCCCCTATTATACTGTTTTTCATCAATACAGGTCTCAGATATATACAGAACATGTCTCTGATTGGCTGAAACACCAAACAGATCATTGCAGCATTACCCATAATCCCTTCTGTTTCAGCCCTGTTTCAAAAGTGCTGATTCTCTCTCTGTTACTTTAGATGAAGATAAGGAGCCCCTCCCCACGCCCCTCTTGCCCCTTTCACACCAACGCGGTTCCAGTTCTAGCTCCTCTTGCGCTCTTCTGGTTCGGAACCGGTTTTTCTTTTCAGCCCCCGTTCTGTTCACACCGCCCAGAGCCCGACTGGTGCTGCCGCGGCTGCGTCATGACGTCACCGTTTACGTCGCTGATTTTCTCCCCAACGGCGTCGGGTCGATGATCGTGTTACTTTTAATCATACGAAGCCAGATTAAATTAAAGAACTACTTCTCAACCCTTATACACTAGCTGCCCGCTGGTTGGCATCACAACACTGTTATGAAAGTTTCTCTGGTATAAAATGGGGTGATGTTAGCATAGCAACCGAAGCTAAACTGACTATCTTGACTACTTGTTGCTATCCTATTGTGGCATAAGCCGTTTTCTACAGGCACATTTTACCTTTTCATTATGATTCTACTTGTGATAGTCGGACATGACAACCTGTGCAGCCCATGTGTTGATTCCATCTGATAGCTGCTATAATAACAAACAAAACGTCTGCCTGCTCTCCACAATGATCAATACAGCGAACGGATGGTCAAAGTAAGGTACAAATAAACAGAATCACACGAAGCCTGGTTAGTGTTGCCTGACTTTATAAAGTGTGTTTGTTTATAAGTGTGTGGTTGCCTTCTAGTCACTTTGCTCAGCGCTACTGCTTGTTACACTTTCAATTTCCGTAGTCGCCATAAACTGTTATTGCTCAGGTTGAACCTGAAACTTTCAGAGTCTCTTTACACAGAGGGGACACATGTTTACAAAGACATGAAAAAGTGGATTTTGCATAATAGGTGACCTTTAAGGACAATTTTGAGGTACAATTGAACTTAACAGCAGTATGCAAAGTAATCCAAATAAACTCCACCTAACTCCACCTCCACCATTATTCTGCATAATGAGTACTTCTACTTTCAATACATTTCGATGCTGATCCATTTGTCCTTAAATCAGATTTAATGCAGGACTTTTTCTATAACAGAGTAGTTCTACACTGTATTACTAGTGTGTGTGTGTGTGTGTGTGTGTGTGTGTGGGTGTGTGTGTGTGTGTGTGGGTGTGTGTGGTGTGTGTGTGTGTGGTGTGTGTGTGTGTGTGTGTGTGTGTGTGTGTGTGTGTGTGTGTGTGTGGTGTGTGTGTGTGGTGTGTGTGTGTGGTGTGTGTGTGTGTGTGTGTGTGTGTGTGTGTGTGGTGTGTGTGTGTGTGTGTGTGTGTGTGTGTGTGTGTGTGTGTGTGTGTGTGTGTGTGTGTGTGTGTGTGTGTGTGTGTGTGTGTGTTCACAGAAGGGTCACACAGGATATTTGCTGAAGGTGTAGTGACGTGTGCAGCAGCCTCTTCTTTTGTTTATCAAGAGACCACAGAGACGTCTCAGCTGCTGCTTGAGTCCCGTAATGAATCCATAATGTATAAATGTAGTATATCTTTTGTATATTTAGTTTATCACTTAAAGAGCAGTTTATATGAAACGTGTTGCCCTTGAGGCCGGTCCCGCGGGGAGTTTTTTTTCACATTAAACTACGCTTAAGTGACTTAATGAATTTGTGCTTAAAACACTTACCATGCGCTAACAGAAAACACCTCTCTGACTCACACTATTTCATCCTAACTATCTTTCTTTACCTAACATCCACCTCCTCTTTATCACAAGATCAGTATACAAACAGTAGCTTACGTTCAACAATGATGGCACATTGGAAGGAACAACATATGCTAAAAACATCTATAAATTAACATGAGAGGAAATGTGAATATGAAAGGGTTTTGAGTATCTATGGAAAAGCAGTTTATTCAAATAAAGAGCCGATAAATGATCTTTCAGGCATTTTGTGAAGCGTCCAAAGAAGGATCATATTTAGTTATGTGGTTAATGAGATTTGTATATCTCTAATAAATAATGAATGATGAAGTAATACAGAACTGAAGTGTATTTTACTTTGGATAAAACCCCTTGAGATGAACCATCACGTCACAATACAACCAACAGATAAGGATACTCCAAAACATAACAGTTCAAGATAGAAATGTGGACACAGAGAGGCTATTACAAATACATTTGCCCCGCTAAATAATAAAATAAATACAAACATAGTGTTTTTTGTGTATCAAATCATCAGTATAATGTACAGTAAGCTAAATAAGAATGCAATTCACTTTTAAACATTTGAAAGGACGTTAAGCATCGTATGTTTGGTGGTAAATTATTCCAGGAGAAGGAGATCTGATATTTACCTACTGCTTTGGATACTGTTAGAAAAGTCTCACTCGTCACCAGCTTGAGCTTCAATCTCAGGATCCATGTATCTGTGATCCTCTCCAGAATGGAAGTAGTCATCACATACAGAGCATCAACTAGTTCCTGAACAGTGTCCTTCACATGCTGATATCCAAGAGAGGGAGTTACATAGTCACAAGATGGAGGAATCATACATCCTGTCATGTACAAAACACTGAGTTTTCTCTCAAAATTCAGATTTTCTCTCAAAATTCAGACATTTTCTCAAAATCTCAAATTCAGATTTTTTTCTCAAAATCATTTTTTTTTAACTTTCTCTCAAAATTATGTATTTTTTCTCAAAATCTCAAAATTCTGACTTTTACTCAAAATCTCAAAATCCTGACTCTCCAGAATGGAAGTAGTCATCACATCCAGAGCATCAACTAGTTCCTGAACAGTGTCTTCACATGCTGATATCCAGAGAGGGAGTTACACAGTCACAAAGATGGAGGAATAGAAAGCAGTATTCAATGTTTACTTCAGATTAGCTCCACGTCAGAAATGAGCATGCTTGTCATATGTCTATCTCCATAGAGGCTGAATCATCATGTTAATCACATAGCTATCATATGCCTCAAACAGTCCTGATGCTCTTCTAGGTAATCAGACATCCTGTCATGTTCACAGCTACAGTTGGGATACCTTTGTTATCATGTTGCTCTCATGTTGGAAGAGGATATTCAGTTTTTCCCAACAGATACTGAGGGAGGGGAATATATAATATAGTATTGAGTAGAGTGCCACGTATTAAAGGTGTTTACCCTCCGTCTCTCTCCACAGGGGGGATCCACTCCCCAGGTTTTCGAGGCGGGGCGACACTCTGAGCTGTCCGTCTCTGATGAACGCAGACGGTCTGTATCTGGTGTCGTACTCCGCCCTGCATGCTCACCCTCAAACTGTGCTGCTGCGACATTACAGGAGGAGGACGCTCGCTCCCATCCTCTGCCTGGTGAGCACGCAAACTACACACACATACTCATAACTACACAACAGGGGCCTTTGTGTGGCCTTTGCCAGACCATTGACATGCACTAAAACCTATAAGACACTACAGGAGAGGGTACACTCTCTACTAACTCTCTACTGTACAATAATATAAGGACGTGTGTGTGGGTGTGTGTGTTGTGTGTGTGTGTGTAGTGTGTTTGTGTGTAGTGTGTGTGTGTGTGTGTGTGTGTGTGTGTGTGTGGTGTGTGTGTGGTGTGTGTGTGTGTGTGTGTGTGTGTGGTGTGTGGTGTGTGTGTGTGTGTGTGTGTGTGTGTGTGTGTGTGTGTGTGTCCACCAGAAGGAGTTTGGCCGTCTGATCCAGAGCAGTGGGGTTCTGGTGGTTCTCTCTCAGGCGTGGATAGAGGAGCTGTATCACCAGGTGTTAGACAGAAACCTGCTGGAGGAGGGGGGGTACTGCATCTCTCAGGAGGACCAATCAGTGGCCCTCATCACCATACTGACAGGTACACACACACACACACACACACACACACATACTGAAGTTTATGTAGCGCTAACCTTTTTCCTTCCTCCTCCTCCTCCTCCTCCTCCTCCTCCTCTCTCAGATATCGACGGTCTGGGCAGCAGTGCGATTGGAGGTCAGCTGATCAGGAGGGCATCCAGCCAATCACCACTCAGCGTTGATAAGACAGGAAGTGACACGGTGACGGCAGGTCAGAAGCTAATCTGCAGCTAATTTGAGCAGAGGACACATTGTTCTATTGTCTCACACACACACACACACACACACACACACACACACACACACACACACACACACACACACACACACACACACACACACACACACACACACACTTAAAAAAGGCTATTATCAGGTGTGACACAGCGAGGGTTTCCATGGCAATTTTGCCCAGTTTCTTGTCTCTCAGGGAAGTAGGAGGGCAGGTGGTCTCTGACTCATTTTTTCCACCTCGCTCTTCTGTCCTCCTGATCTTTTTTCGTTTTGCCTCCCTCTCATCTTGTTCATGTTGCTCAGCCTCTTACACAAAGACAGAATCAGTGACTTCACATTAGTCTGTTTTCAATCCTTTTAATATTTCAAAAAACATGTTATAACATCCACCAATTGACCATTTTCTCATTTATTGCAAGACTAATAAGAAGTGCATTAGCCTTCAAGTCTGTACATCCTTTACTCTCTGATATAGATTTAAAGGGGCTGTTGTGATTGGTCAACCGCTTAAAGATGTCCCGCCCCTTAGCCTATCACGTACAATGTGTTGAAACGCCAAAAGAAGTGTTTCAAAGTGATGTCACTATGTTCAGGAACTTTTGGGATTTTAGCCTTTGCAGACCATTGACATGCACAGAAACCTAAGAGCACACTACAGGAGAGGGAATTCCACATACAGCAGAATAGGGCCTCTTTAATATGATCATTAATACGGATAATTACCTCATTAAACCCCACTTTAAACAATCTGAGGTATATCTTTAAAGGTCCCATGTCATGCTTTTCTGGTTATTACCCGTCCCCTTGTGTGTTATGAAGGTTTGTATGCATGTAAACGGTCTGCAGAGTCACAAACCCTCAAAGTACACCCTGTAGCGAGTAAAACTCTAACACAGAGAAGACCCAGAATGCCTCGTTGGAGATTTCTCTTTTTCCATTTGTTTCTTCCCGGAACCAAAATGGACCAATCCGCGGAGCTCCTCACACACCAGGACCTTTAGCGTACATTTTCAACTAACAGGGAGTCCCATTGACTTGCATAGAGCTCCCTGGTTGGTAATAGACGAGTTGGAATGGCGGAGAAATGCTCTCCGCAGCAGACCCATTCTCACAGCGTTTATAAACCTTTTTCTTACTCAATATTAAGCCACACTTATTGTGTTTACTTCGGCTGTGAGTGTTTGTGTGTGCTCAGGATGAGTTTCGCTCTGTCTCGCTGTATCGCCAACCCGGAAACCACACCAGTAAGTCAGCTCAGTGAGCAGCGAGCCTCGCAACGTCCCGACCAATCAGAGCACACTGGGCTCACAGGGAGGGGGGGGCAGGAGCTCCAACAAGCCGTGTAGGACAAAGAGTGAATACACATACTTTACAGAGATGCTGTATGAGAAACCAATGTGAGTTTGGAACATTGAACAATGTAAATCTATTCTAGTAGACCTCAACAATGGAATTATGATCAGTAGAAATGGCCGTGACATGATGGGACCTTTAACATGTTGTTATTCAATTGAGTGCTTTAAGGGTTTCTGGATATATTTGACTTAATATTTCCACTGGATCAAGTAGTTTAATGATGAGGCAAGCAGTAACACCCTGTTCCCTTTTACAGTGCAGTATGATTTAAAACACTGTCTGTTTTGGCCTTGCTCATCTGTGGCCCCTTCAAAGCACCTCAAAAACAGGTTAACATCAGCAGCAGATTCAGGGTCAGTGAACCTTTTTATTTAGAGCGGGATGATTTATCAGCGCTGGGGAAAAGCTCCTCTGAGCATTACCTCAAAAAATATTCCAATCATGAAGAACACTTTATGTTTTGACCTGTAATTAAAACCTCTCTTATAAATATCACTCCTTTCACAACTGTTATATTACCCAGGGATGGGAGGGTTTATTGATCATGTATTGGATTAATCGATGGTCACAAACAGTGTTAAAGGTCCCCTATCATGCAAAATGCACTTTCTGATGTCTTTTCTACATCACCATGTGTCCCTGGTGTGTCCCTGGTGTGTCCCCGGTGTGTCCCCCGGTGTGTCCCCGGTGTTGTCCCCGGTGTGTCCCTGGTGTGTCCCTGGTGTGTCCCCCGGTGTGTCCCTGGTGTGTTCCCCCGGTGTGTCCCTGGTGTGTCCCCGGTGTGTCCCCGGTGTGTCCCCCGGTGTGTCCCCCGGTGTGTCCCCCGGTGTGTCCCCGGTGTGTCCCTGGTGGTCCTGGTGTGTCCCCCGGTGTGTCCGCGGTGTGTCCCGCGGTGTGTCCCCGGTGTGTCCCCGGTGTGTCCCTGGTGTGTCCCCCGGTGTGTCCCTGGTGTCCCCCCCGGTGTGTCCCCGGTGTGTCCCCGGTGTGTCCCCGGTGTGTTCCCGGTGTGTCCCCGGTGTGTCCCCGGTGTGTCCCCGGTGTGTCCCCGTTGTGTCCCCGGTGTGGTTCCCGGTGTGTTCCCGTGTGTTCCCGGTGTGTCCCCGGTGTGTCCCCGGTGTGTCAGGAGACTCACAAAGTGTCAGAAAACAAAACCCTCTCTCTTTTCCTCCGTACCCACATCTCTAAAAACGGGGGATCAACGGAGCTGATCCAGATCTGCTGCGTCATGACGACATAACAAAAATGTGGGCGGGCTTTACACCCACGGGCCAATCAGAAACGTTGCTGTCAGAAACAATGAGCGACTGTTTGGACGTAATATGGTCTTTGTTTACATTAGCATAGCATAGCAGAGCTAACCTGTACTGGAGAGAGTCTGTGTGAAGAAGCAGGAAATCAAAAGGAAGTCACCTTGTGGTAAACCTGAGAGAGAGAAAGAGTTTGAGCTCCATGCTGTTTCAGAAATAATCCTTGATGTGGTTTGGAACATGATATGGAGTTTAATCACGGCAGCATTTAGCTGAGTATCTGCTTCTCTGTGCAGCTCTATAGCTACTGACCCAGAATCAGCACTTTACTAACAGGGCTGAGATAGAGGGAAATGAGGCTAGAATGGTTGGTTTGTTTAGTATTTTGAGCAAACCACTTCAGAGACATGTTTTTTTATAGATATGGCCCTACAATATATTAATCAAATAATAATAATGCAGTCCTTTCTTCCTGTTCGACGTCTCTCAGCTCAGTATTTCTGTGTTTATTTTTAAGGTGCTGTGTTCTCCCGCTTCATCCTCACCGGTGTGTGGAAGAACCTGATCGACGTGCTCTCCACGCCGCTGACCGGTCGCATGGCGGAAGCTCTAAAGGCCTGGCGTTCATTTTGGGGGGCCGAGGGGATGAAGGAGCAGAGCCAGAGGGAGAGAGACACAATCTGTCTGAGTTTAGACGGACTCCGGAAAGCTGCTGCGCTCAGCTGTGCTTTAGGTGGGTGAATTAATGTGAAACATGTGAAACATCGGTCACAGCAGGGAGTCCTCTGTTCCCCTGAACCTGAACACAGAAAGGTCAAAGGTCAGGGGCAGATTCTCAACAGTAGCCCAGGAGCTGGCACACATTCAGGACTACATTTAACTAGAGGTTAGTTAACAGAGCTAAAGAGTCCTCTCCTGCTGATGTTCAGGTGTATATAGTATGTAGTGTCTCTACTTTAAAAGAGTCCTCTCCTGCTGATGTTCAGGTGTATATCAGTATGTAGTATCTCTACTTTAAAGAGTCCTCTCCTGCTGATGTTCAGGTGTATATCAGTATGTAGTGTCTCTACTTTAAAGAGTCCTCTCCTGGCTGATGTTCAGGTGTATATCAAGTATGTAGTGTCTCTACTTTAAAGAGTCCTCTCCTGCTGACGTTCAGGTGTATATCAGTATGTAGTGTCTCTACTTTAAAGAGTCCTCTCCTGCTGATGTTCAGGTGTATATCAGTATGTAGTGTCTCTACTTTAAAGAGTCCTCTCCTGCTTTGCGTTCAGGGTGTATATTAGTATGTAGTGTCTCTACTTTAAAGAGTCCTCTCCTAGCTGCTGGTGTTCAGGTGTATATCAGTATGTAGTTGTCTCTACTTTAAAGAGTCCTCTCCTGCTGATGTTCAGGTGTATCATCAGTAATGTATGTGTCTCACTTTAAAGAGTCCTCTCCTGCTGATGTTCAGGTGTATATCAGTATGTAGTGTCGCTACTTTAAAGAGCCTCTCCTGCTGATGTTCAGGTGTATATCAGTATGTAGTGTCTCTACTTTAAAGAGTCCTCTCCTGCTGATGTTCAGGTGTATATCAGTATGTATTGTCTCTACTTTAAAGTCCTCTCCTGCTGATTGTTCAGGTGTATTATCAGTATGTAGTGTCTCTACTTTAAAGAGTCCTCTCCTGCTGATGTTCAGGTGTATATCAGTATGTAGTGTCCTACTTTAAAGAGTCCTCTCCTGCTGATGTTCAGGTGTATATCAGTATGTAGTGTCTCTACTTTAAAGAGTCCTCTCCTGCTGATGTTCAGGTGTATATCAGTATGTAGTGTCTCTACTTTAAAGAGTCCTCTCCTGCTGATGTTCAGGTGTATATCAGTATGTAGTGTCCTCTACTTTAAAGAGTCCTCTCCTGCTGATGTTCAGGTGTATATCAGTATGTAGTGTCTCTACTTTAAAGAGTCCTCTCCTGCTGATGTTCAGGTGTATATCAGTATGTAGTGTCTCTACTTTAAAGAGTCCTCTCCTGCTGATGTTCAGGTGTATATCAGTATGTAGTGTCACTACTTTAAAGAGTCCTCTCCTGCTGATGTTCAGGTGTATATCAGTATGTAGTGTCTGTACTTTAAAGAGTCCTCTCCTCTTGATGTCCAGGTGTATATCAGTATGTAGTGTCTCTACTTTAAAGAGTCCTCTCCTGCTGATGTTCAGGTGTATATCAGTATGTAGTGTCTCTACTTTAAAGAGTCTCTATAGGACCTCTTTAAATCCACCAAGGAGATGATGTTCACGGTTTATCAGCAGCGTTACAGAACATCTGTTCCAGTTTAAGTGGAACTTGTTGGAAAATGAAGACACTAATGAACTTTAGAGCTGATCTGATTAACAGGTTGGATACACACTTAGTGCCTTTCTACTTTACAATTAGTTTAAGTTCATTTAGTTGACTGATGTTCTCTTAATGGTTTAATGTTCTTATTTGTTTTAAACAAGACACTGTGTTGAATCTTTGTGCTAGCTTGACAGGCCACTTTATTTTCATCCACACATGCAGTACTCACCCCCATCTTCCTCTACTCCCTCTGTATGTTACATAGTAAGCTGATGTTATACTGCCGCCCTAGTGGTGACACATGGGCATTGTAGCACCTATCATTACAAATGGGACTTTTTTAAGGCGCTTTTAAGACGATTGGCCGGTGTGTTTACCTGCTGAATAAAATCAACTCTTACATGCTTTTAATTGACAAAGACAATGGGATTCATCATCATGAGAACAAGCAATCAATTCTGTTTTTTCAATCTGACAATTACATTTCTTATGACCCTTTTTGTCGAACAAATTAAGAACAAACTTTGTGAATGAGGCCCAATCAAATGGGAAATGTAAACAGTTGCCACCTGCCCGGTGGCAGGCTGCTCCTGATGGACTCTCACTGCTCGCTGATTCAAACGATCGGCACAGAAGCTTCTTATGAATATGATGGACACATGGTGCTCCACTGTGGAGAGGAGTGTGTGTAGCTCAGTATCCAACGTTACATTCAAACACACAGTAAAGAGAATTATGACTGTTTAGAGTCAACATTTGGAGTTTGCAGGATGTGATCTTTACGACGTGAGAAAGATTTTAAACGACACAGCTGGTTTTGACACGTGTGTGTGTGGTGTGTGTGTGTGTGTGTGGTGTGTGTGTGTGTGTGTGTGTGTGTGTGTGTGTGTGTGTGTGTGTGTGTGTGGTGATGTGTGTGTGTGTGGTGGTGTGTGTGTAGTGGAGTGTGTGTGTGTGTGTGTGTGTGTGTGTGTGTGTGTGTGTGTGTGTGTGTGATGTTTGTGATCTTTCAGGTGTGGCAGCTAACTGTGCCTCAGCTCTCGCCCAGATGGCTGCTGCCTCCTGTGTTCAGGAGAGAAGGAGGAGAGGGAGGTGGGGGAGTGGGAGACCGCCATCACACAAGTACGGACGGAGAACCACCACCACACAGACACACATACACACACACAATACACACAAACAAAAACAAGTCATTTGAATTGACAGAGATAATGGCTCATTTTGTCAAAGGGATGATTTAAAAGACTGGCGGTCTTTTTTTTATGTAATTTTTTTTCCTGTGAAGGTAAAAATATACGTATGAATTAATAAAAAAACTTTAAAAAAGGGGAAGAATGGTGTTGTAAATGCTAATTAAAACACTCTAGTGCAGTCAGAGTGATGCACCTATCCAGTAAAACAATGATCTTTAGTGACATATAGTGGAGACTCTGATCATCCTCTTTACAATCCTGTACTTTACTGACAGCAACAATATTTAGATAAGACTCACTATCTCAAAGCTTCATCGATATTGCACTATTCAGTTTTACTGTGGTGTTGTGTGTTGTGTGTGTGTGTGTTGTGTGTTGTTGGTGTGTGTGTGTGTGTGTGGTGTGTTGTGTGTGTGTGTGTGTGTGTGTGTGTGTGTGTGTGTGTGTGTTGTGTGTGTGTGTGTGTGTGTGTGTGTGTGTGTGTGTGTGTGTGTGTGTGTGTGTTGTGTGTGTGTGTGGTGTGTGTGTGTGTGTGTGCAGTGAAGCACCGTCTGGAGCAGATGTCTCGTCCTCAGGGAGTGCGTCTGCACACGGCTCACGTGTTGTGTATGGACGCCATCCTCAACGTGGGGCTGGAGATGGGCAGCCACAACCATGACTGCTGGCCCCACGTCTTCAGGTACACACACACACACACACACCCACACATACTTCCCAGTCTCGCTCCCACCATATTTTCACCAAGATGCCTCAATAAACGAATAAAAAATGCATCTTTACACACATTTATAAACCTCCCTTCTGTCTCGCAGGGTGACAGAGTACATCAGCTCATTGGAGCACACACACTTCAGCGACGGCTCCATGCACCCTTCCTCCCTGAACCCCCATCCTGCAGCAGGGGGGGGCCCGTGGACCCTGGGGGCGGAGCTTAGCTGTGATCCCAGCACAGAGGCTTCGGAGCTGGGCCTCAGTTCAGCCCGTCATCCAGCCTCTTTCCATCCAGGAGCTGCTGAGGGGGGGCAGCCTGATGACGGGGAACAGCCAGATGACTGGGAACAGCCAGATGACGGGGAACAAGGGGAACAGCCAGATGAGGGGGAACAGCCAGATGAGGGGGAACAGCCTGATGACAGGGAACAGCCTGATGAGGGGGGGCAGCCTGATGAGGGGGGGCAGCCTGATGACGGGGAACAGCGCCGCCAAGGCCGTGTGCACGCTGTCCACACAGGCAGACAGGTACATATATAATATCGTAGTTCTATTTCATTCCTACTGACCCCCAGAGGCAGTGCTTAACACTGGATGTTATCCATCTCGCAGGTCGAGTATTTCAATCAATGTTTATTTATATAGCCCAATATCACAAATGTTACGTTTGTCTCAGTGGACTTCACAGTTTGTACAGAATATCAGTATGACAATACGACACTATTTAAGATCAACAAAGTCATATGTGACGTAGGGCAAGCCCCGCCTATACTGCAGCACCCGCGTTCACCATCAGAAACTGTCTCTATTAATCTTCCTCACAGGTAGCGAACACAGGTAGATACAGAGCGTGGGAAATAACATAGCCGGTGGCTCTTCGTTGGTAGCCCTCTAAACCGTAGTTGTTGGAGTCTCGGTTTCGTCCTCCAAGGGCTGCGATTGGTCACAAACGGCTTGAACACATTACGCTGACAGACCGGGTGTTTTTCGCCAGGTACAGTTTGTTCGGCATATTGCGGATGCGCTCAGGCTAAATAATATAACTTAGATTTATATAGCGCCTTCAGGGGACCAAAGGGTCAAAGTGAATGGGAAGCGTCTCCGTTGAAGCTTCCAACGGAAACCGTGTGTAGGAGGCGTAATGGCGTGGCGGCCATGGAGAGACAGGGCGTATCTGGTCAGAGAGGGTCACATTGGGGTTAATCCCCTCAGGCCGCGATGGTGGTGCCCTCTCCTTGGCTGGGGGACAGTTTGTGAACACCAGAGCAGTGAGCGGGCTCTGGGTGCTCAGGAGATGGCACAACACATACATGTGCTCGAGCTCCGTGCTGTTGTATTTAGCGCTCCGCAAATTCCTGCCATATTTGAGAGGCAGACATGTATTGGTACGTTGCGACAACAAGTCAGCCGTCTACCATGTCAACTATTTTATTTTGTATAGCACTTTCTTTTTTAACTGCTTACTGTATGTTTAGATAAACGACTTATTCAATTTTATTTATTTTATCCTTTTTTTATTGCAGATTTTTACTTGAAATGCTTTTGTCTATACAAATATATTTATTTAATTTAATATTGTATTGGACATTTAACTATAACCTCTTATGTTTATATCAATATTTGTATCTTAATAGTTTTTTATTCCACATTCTTTCTTAACAACTTATTTTGTATATACATATTTTATTCTATATTTATTTATCTATGTTTTTTATTTCAAAATGCAAAGCCACTCTCAGAAAAGCAATTTCCCTCTCGGATAAATACAATTATAGGATACAAAATAATATAAAATAGGATGCAAGGTGTGCAGAGCATGAAGTGTGTTGCAGAGTGTGTTGTTTCTATCACCGTGTGGTGTTTAGCAGCATGACGGTGACTTTTAATACAAAAATCTGGTGCTCTGCAGGAATACCTGTAATGACCACCAGGTGGCAGCAGCACAGAGACACTGTGTGTGTGTGTGTGTGTGTGTTGTGTGTGTGTGTGTGTGTGTGGTGTGTGTGTGGTGTGTGTGTGGTGTGTGTGTGTGTGGTGTGTGTGTGTGTGTGTGTGTGTGTGTGTGTGTGTGTGTGTGTGTGTGTTGTGTGGTGTGTGGTGTGGTGTGTGTGTGTGTGTGTGTGTGTGTGTGTTGTGTGGTGTGTGTTGGTGTGTGTGGTGTGTGCCAGCCGCTCTGCACTTATTGAAGTTTGGCACAGCAGGGAATACTCTGTGTTTATTTCATGGATCATCTCTTATGTAACCGATGATCTCGCTGCTTTTAGGGGAGAATAAAAAAACCAAATGTTCCCACTGATCTCCTGCAGCAGATGGACTGAACACACTCGCAGCTGAAAGTGGTGCCAGGGATAGTAAACAAAGTGAAAGAGTGACATTTTAAAGGGCAACAACGCTGCATTTCTGCATGAATACACAATTTATTAATTGTGTTTGTTCACCTTTTGATCGGGGTTCTTACTGTAGACTTTATTTTGTTGGTACTTGTGGGTTATCAGTCGCCACTATTTTTTGTTTTTTTCAGACTCTCTAAATACGCACTTTTTTTGTTTTTGTCAGACTCTCTGAATACGCACTTTTGTTAGGGTTAGGGTTGGAAAATGAAATAAAAAAGTGGGCGACAGGATAACCCACAAGTACCATTTATTTTATTTACAATTAAAAAATTCACAATCATACCTGATAACAAATGATAAACAGTGCAAGAAGAGGCAGAAAACACACTGGGCTTATATTATATAATCATAATAATAATACATGTTATCTATAAAGCGCTTTCCGTGGTGCTCAAAGGAGTCGATATTAAAAACAGTAGCTTATATTCAATAATGATGGCACACGGGGGTGGACATCTGATGATTGCATAGAAATGAAAGTGTGAATTTGCTTTTAAAGTACGCGATGTTCCTTTATCTGAAGTATTTTGTAAATGAAAACACATATTCGATAACTGTTAATGTCACAATGTTACATTGTCATCGATGTGTGTGTGTGTTGCAGGCTGTTTGAGGAAGAAGCAAAGAAGCTGAAACTGGTGGCTCTGGTTGGGTTTCCTGCAGCAGCTCAGGAAGGCTTCTCAGTGTACAGCTGTTCCACTCTGGTGACCGAGACCGGGAGACTACTCACTGGCAATGCCAGGTACACACACACACACACACACACACACACACACCACACACACACACACACACACACACACACACACACACACACACACACATACACATACACACACACACACACATACACATACACATACACATACACACACACACACCCACATGCTCTATAAATTACCTTACATTGGAATTAATTTATAATAAAATACACTTTGCTAAAGAATAAAATTGGTCAAAGTTTTCCATCTTCTATTTTTTGGAGACCATTTTGTTTTTACAGATTTGCAAACTCAAAATTCCTCGTTGGGATTCATTGGCAAACATTGGGGAGCTAAATAAGAGGAAATAAATGCTCCTGTGTGTTCAGGAGAGGCCAAATCGACTCTGGAGCGACGCAGCGCTCTGCATCTCTTCCGACTCGGCGAGGCACATGCTGAGGATCGTCAGGAACAGGAACCGGCCCCTGCTGCACATGATGAGGGCCTGGAGCGTCGTGGCCCCCCACCTGGTGGAGGTGAGGAGCCTCTTAAAACAAGAGGGGGGTTGGTGCTACACGCTGTCATGTGCAAAGATCCTCTCAAAGGTCTCCTATCATGCAAAATGCACTTTTGGATGTCTTTTCTACATCACCATGTGTCCCCGGTGTCAGAAAACAAACCCTCTCTCTTTTCCTCCGTACCCACATCTCTAAAAACGGAGAACAACGGAGCTGATCCAGATTTGCGTCTGATATGACGTAATATCTGAAATGTGGGCGGGCTTTACACACCCACGGGCCTATCAGAAACGTTGCTGTCAGAAACAATGAGATGTGTTTTGGACGTAATATGGTCTGTGTTTACATTAGCATGCTAACACTCAGAGCTAACCTGTACTGGAGAGAGTATGTGTGAAGAAGCAGGAAATCAAAAAGGAAGTCACCTTGTGGGTAAACCTGAGAGAGAGAAAGAGTTTGAGCTCCATACTGTTTCAGAGAGAATCCTTGATGTGGTTTGGAACATGATATGGAGTTTAATCACGGCAGCATTTAGCTGAGTTTCTGGGTAGAATTCTCCTGCATAAGCTCCGCCCCCTTTTTCATAAAGTTACAGACCCAGAATCAGCACTTCTCTAACGGGGCTAAATAGAGGGATATGATTATTTGGAGCATGGCTAGAATAAACACTTCATAGACACGTTTTTTTATATATTTCTATATATCTGAGACCCATAAGAAATGCCTAAAAATAGTGTAATAGCAGACCTTTAAAGGACTTTGTGTGTGCTTAAACGTATACTTTGTTTGTTTAATGATCTTCTCGTCGCAGGCGGCCTGTCACAAAGAGCGCCACGTTTCCCAGAAGGCCGTTTGTCCTTCATCCACGACGTGCTGACGGAGGTGCTAACGAGCTGGGCGGAGCTTCCTCTCTTCCACTTCAACGAGGCGCTGTTCAGACCCTTCGAGCACATCATGCAGCTGGAGCTGTGCGACGAGGACGTGCAGGACCAGGTGAGGAGACTCTCTTGCAGATCTCACGTTTGCATCTATCCTAGGAATTTATCTCAAGTCTCATTTCATTCACAGATTAAATGTGTCGGTCCTAATGGTAAACTACGGCTGTCAATAGACTGGCAACCTCTGCTCTCTTGTGTTCGACAGACATGCAGTTTACCCATACGGATGTTACCTGTTACATTTAGCATGTCTTATGTCCCTTTTTGTTGCCTGCTCCTCTGTATAAAGGCATTGCTTTTCCTGTGTACTTGGTCAGGTCTTGGTACTATCTACTAGTGCAGGTTATCTGTCCTTCCAGCTGGAAATAAGATTGATTCTTAAATGCTATAACTCTTATTAAATAAACACAGCGTTGGTTTAAGCTTGTATATTTGTTCTTTTCTTACCAGAAGGTGGTTAAGTGTTGAATTTCCTCCACAGCATCAATCAATACAAAGTCACCTGCAGCAGCTTCATGTATCTGATATGTGTCCCTGCAGGTGATCACCTCCATCGGGGAGCTGGTGGAGATGTGTTCCCCTCAGATCCTGTCGGGATGGAGGCCTCTGTTCAGCGCTCTGAGGACGGTCCACAGCAGCAAGACGGAACACAAGGGGTACCTGCTGGGGAATACTCCATGGGTACGTCTTAGTGAAGTCTCACTGGTCCCCGGCTTGAGTTCAATCTCAGGATCCATGTATGTGTGATCCTCTCCAGAATGGAAGTAGTCATCACTCCAGGAGCATCAACTAGTTCCTGAACAGTGTCCTTCACATGCTGATATCCAAGAGAGGGAGTTTACACAGTCACAATGATGGAGGAATAGAAAGCAGTATGCAATGTTTACTTCAGATTAGCTCCACGTCAGAAATGATCATGCTTGTCCATATGTCTATCTCCATAGAGGCTGAATCATCATGTTAATCACATAGCTATCAATATGCCTCAAACAGTCCTGATGCTCTTCTAGGTAATCATACATCCTGTCATGTACACAGCTACAGTTGGGATACCTTTGTTAGCATGTTGCTCTCATGTTGGAAGAGGACATTCAGTGTTTTCCCAACACTAAGATAAGATAGGACTTTATTATCCCAAAGGAAATTGGTTGTGCCAGAGTTACAAAATACAATAAACACAGCAGCAGAATAATAAAACTGTACACCAACAGTGCAGTAAAAAGAGCATTAAATAACTACAGGATACATAGACGGTCACATCATTAATGTAAATATTAACAGTATCAGTAGTGCAAAAGAAACGTAGTGGCAGATATGTAATTGCACATTATTATAGAACATTATTAATAAATAATAATATTGCAACATGTTATATAGCAGAGTGTTTTGTAATGATGGTAATGGTATTTATATTGCACATAGTGGTGGTGTGGAAT